CCTTTCTGGAATTTTCTTAGTTAATATATATAAATTGACATTTTTCATTACCTTTACCTTTTAAGTCATCAGTAATCTTTAAGTCATCAGTTACCGTTTAAGTCATCAATATATTTGGAGTATTATTCAACTTGGAAATTAAGTGATTTATTGGAGCTTGGATTATTTCAAAATAGATTAAATTATTCTTGTGGATTTTATTGTGGGAATTTATTCTAAAGTGTTCTTGGATTTAACTTGGATTTAAGTGTGCTATTCCAAAGGATCATTCCAGGATCAGACTAGACATTTAAGATTTTCATTTTCATTTGGACTTCAGGTATTTGTAAACATAATTTGTTATTTTATTTTTCTTTGATAATTTTTCTGTAATAAATTTGTTATTGTTACAAGTTTGTTGCTGGCTTTTCTTTCTCGTTACGCCTGGCTCGTAACAATATATTCAAAAACTACCATTGTAGATAAGGAAGGAATCATGTTGCATTCTTCATAATATTGTATTTGTTTATACAATTACAGCAAACAGTGTTTTAAAGGAAATGGTCAATACCTCATCCAGGAAAACATCGTTCTCTGTTCCTATCAGTCTATTCTTTTCATCTTCAAACATCAGATAAACTGTTGAGTTTGGGTCAGCACGAAGGTCTATTTTCAACTTTTGTCTAGGTTCCAGGGAAGTTGCATTATATGTGACGGAGACCTAAATATATTTTACTGCAACAATTGAACAACTATTCTATACTAGTGGTGCCTTTCTTTTGCCATTAATACACGTAGTTGTATTTAAGGTGTATGAATTTGTTTACAGAACAAATGTATGAAATTAAAGTATGACAAATAATTTTAAATAAAATGGTTATAAAACAACGGAAAGCAAAACAAACAATACTTATATATTTATCTATTTATTTGTTCATCTGTCACTCTCATTACTTAACCTTTCATTGAGTTAAAATGACAAATGTGAACTAGCTTAAACATGCTATGATAAATAAAAGTAAGCTTACCTTGTTTTTACAAGGCGATCCGTCCACTTTAAGCATAATATAATCTGAGAGCAGGTGTCCAGCTCTAGTAAGATGTGTAGCAACAACGTATGCTTGAGGCACCAAATCTCCAGTTATCTTCAAATCTAAGTAAGACCGTTTCGTATTATTCACCAGGCGATTCAAGAAAGTCTGCCGCAATATTCCTCGAGCATAAATCTATGTACGACAAAAATATATGAATTGAGCATTTATTAACTTTTTAAAGCCGTATCTAAAGCGTGCTTAACCAAACTGAAATGTTTAAACATAAACTTGTCTACTTCATATTTTGATATAACATGGCCTATCGTCGTCGTAATCTGTTAAATGTTCGAGTCATCAATTCTCGTACCAGTTTTAAAAAGACAAAATATGCTAGACGTTTAAAATTGATAGAAGTGATATTGTATGAAGATACGGAATCCTGTAAGGGAGATTGCGTCCTCGCCCGCACTCTTTGGTACACCGTATATTTATTGCATAATTATTTTTAACATTATACAGAAACACTTGATATTTTGTTGCGTATTTTCATTTGGAAATATACTGTATATAATACTGCGATCGTGATAATTGTATCGATTTATAAAAACTCGAGATACACCGCAAACGTCGTTATTTTATAAACAAATATCTATGTATCATTGAAATTATTTCAAAGCTTGGGGAAAGGACGTTAAAGCAAAATACAAATCGCGCTATTTATATAAAGAATTCCAAATCGAAATGAATAGGTGCAGCCATTTTCTTCCGCGAGGGATGAGGACGCGATGCTATCTAGGCCGATTTGTGCCATTTGTGTTTTAAGCCCCACGACCCCACCAAGCGAAAAGTCGGGAAAAAAATGGTAGAGGCGCGGAGCGAAAACACATTAATTAGCGAGAGCGCGGGGCGAAGTTTAAGAAATAAAACTTTGTCCCACGGTGGCGCGGAGCGAGATTTAAAAAAAAAATATAACTTCGCCCGCGCCCCCGCTAATTAGCGTGTTTTTGTGCTGCACCCCGCCGTTTTATGTTTTAAATCTCGCTCCGCGCCCCCGCGGGGCAAAGTTTTTATGTCTTAATCTTCGTCCCGTGCCTCGCTAATAAGCGTGTTTTCGTTCCGCGCCCCCGCCATTTTAACTTGTAAATTCTCGAATTTTCGCTTGGCGGGGTCGCGGGATAAAAACACGCTAATTAGAGGAAGCGCGCGCTTCGTCCCGCCACCCCGCTAATTAACGTGTTTTCGTGCCGCGACCCCGCCGTTTTATTATCTTAAATCTCGAAGTTTTATTTCTTATACTTTGCCTCGCACCCTCGCTAATTAGCGTGATTTCGCTCCGCCCCCCCCCCCCCGTCCGCCATTTAAACTTGTTAATTTTCGACTTTTAGCTTGGCTTGGTCGCGGGGCGAAAACACGAATGGCACAAATCAGCCACGATACGATGCCCCTTACAGGATTTCGGAAGTCACCAAGGTATTTGCCTATATATGATTTGTACAAAAATGGTGTACTGCATAAACCATCGCGCTACGGGAGGTTGACAGCAACTGTTACTACAAGCTTACGTCTATGAATAGGTTCAATCAAACTGAGCTTGCAATATATTTAACTTTACCATGTTTGGCATTTTTAGACTTTTTTTAGCAAAATACGTCATTTATATCTGAGAAGGACTAAGAACATAAGTAATGTAAATTCAAACAAGTCTTTGAAGGCACATTCGGCGATGTATTCATGATGTTCAACTGCATGCTTCACACCAAGGTTATATTAATATGGACACGGGAGCGCATCATTGAAAGCCATATGTCATAAACGATTCATTTTGGTTGTGTTTTGCATCGCAATGACACTGTACACGACATATGACGACTTTCCAGCTTTACTACTGAAGGAAAACCTCAGGTGCGCCACTGGCTATAAACATGATTTGTGAATATGCAGAGGGGAGACCGGGGCAAAATGAAACTAGAAACAAAGTGAAATTTTCTATGAAACTTTTTGAGTACGCAAAGAAAGGAAAAAGAGATAAAAAAAAGAAATGTTCAAAACACACATAGATTTAAAACGAACAACTGACGAAAAAAAAGATAAACGGAAACCGTTCAAGCTTAAGCCAGCAGGGCCTTTTTATATGCGTTGATGATTCCCTTATAGTTACCCAAGTAAAGTATGATTACTATAATTATCATAAATAATGCAAAAGGTTAGCTCTTGGCTCTTGGCGAAAGCTCTGGGGCATCTAAAGATAAAAAGTTTACTGTCAAAATTATGACTCTGATTATGACAATTTAAAGGTTAATCTTTGATCTTACCGTATTTAAACTATTGATGAAGCCTTTTTATGACATACAAGATGTTACTTGTACATAAAGGAAAAGACTTCACAGTTTTTATTTGATATGTCACACAATTTAAAAGTATTAGAATCCGAAACGATTAGTGAACAGTGGTATGACTTTAGTCCTAAAATTCTTTGTTATTAGTGTTTATAATTTATTTTAGAATCATATAAATTCCATAAAATGTCATTATCGTTCAATTTTGAAATTTTGTCTTTATTATAATTACTGCTTCACTTTGCTCACCAGGGCAAAGGGAAACACTCCATGTTTACTTTCTAGACTACAATTTCAACTAGTTTATGTACCGCTTTATATATTTAGTCACAACTGAATTGAAGAATAGACGGTGAAACAGGAAAATAATTAAAAATCGAGCCGGTCATATTCAAAATAACATCACTAATCGAGAAAGTGTTTTATTTTGCCCCGTTCTCCCCAATAAATTGGTAATGTTTTATTCTAAAATATGTTATTGAGATACAAAGCAATCAAAATTGTGGAACAAATGTTTGCCCTTTCAGATTTTTGCCCAGAGTGTGTTAAAAAACACTCACCTCGTATGATATCAAACCAGTGAGCTTTTCAGTTGCTTCTGTCATTATGGTAACATTTTCCCCAACCTTTTGTTACAGATGAAAACAAACGTTAGAACAAGGGTAACGGCGACAATAAATCTAATTTTTGACTACTATTCGGTGCATTTATAAGTATATATGAGAAAAGAAACGTTTATTCTTTGGTATTTAAAGTTTTATCACTTAACCATTAGAGCTAGTAATATGTGAAGATGATGTGAATATCCAAATCTAAATACCTCTTTAAAGCGATATTCATAGCGGACAATATTCACCGAAATCATAATACAATGAAAGTATTATAATTATGACCAAACAAAAATAATATTTTGAAAATATTTCATTCAAAGTTTGCCGTTTTCCTTTTTTTCACACAAACAAATCCTTAATAGTCGGACGGAAAGCACAGAAGTTGTTTTCCTGTTTTCGATTTTTATATCCTTTTCTAATGCGTGTCAGATATTAAAAACTGTGCATAAGAGTCAGAAACAAAACGCCATATTATATGAATTATATAACAGCTACATCTCTGTTATTTTCTTTACGTAAGGTTCTTTTTGATTGGTTGCCTATATCTCGACCTAGTTTGTTTACCTATAGTCGAGGTTAATGTGATTATCAATAGCAACAGGATGAAAATGGAAATCATATAATAAATGTATTAAATCTATGGTGTCTCTTGTAAAAATCACTATTTCAGTACAATGTGTATGAACATAAAAACTAAATAAAGATTTGTGACACAAAATAATAAAAAACAACAAATATTAGAATGTAATCCGTTAGAATCCGTTAGAATAAATCTATACTTACTCGAGCGTGAATCTGTTTGGCATTCATCCGCAACAATGGAACTGGGTGGCTTGAGACAGAGTAAAGCTCCATATACGAGTTTGTCCACCCATAGTTTAACTAAATAGAGTTTAGAAATATAACTTTAATGTTGTTGCTTTTATAATAATAATAATAATAATAATAATAATAATCTTTATTTAAAGAAGGTAACACATTAAGAAAATACAAAAACAATCATATATATCTTATTTCCAATGTGGCCTTCTGAAATAGAAAACAACAACAAAAGAACAAGCACAAGTGGAAAAATGAATGTATAATGTGTAATTTTAGAATAATACAACTCATATACTTTCGACAGACACTCAACAATTTGCTTAAACATATACGTATATTGCATCATTCGTTCATGCATTCGTTCGTTTGTTCATTTATTCATTCATACATTCATATGAACATCAAGATATATTTTGTATTTTTCTTTAAAACATTTAAGGTTATCGACATTACGAATATCTAAAGGTATATTGTTCCAAATGTTCATGCCATAATACGAAAATGTGTCTTTAATATAATTTGTTTTAAGTCTTGTCCATAATACAATATTTTTTCGTGACCTAGATCTTAAGTTATACATTTTGTTGTCTGATAAAATCATTCGTTCTGTCATATAAGTCGGTGCCATGTTATTTTACGTTTTAAAAACAAGCACCGCCGTGTGGTATTTACATCTGTCAAGGAACGGTAACCAATTAAGAGCTTCGAATAGCTTCATTGACGGAGATCTTTGTGGTTGCTGTAATATGATTTTAGCAATTCGTTTTTGTAATTTACAAACATTATTTATGTATTTTGTGCTTCCTTTACCCCATATAATACAACAATAGTCCATAATTGGCAATACATATGCATTGTAAAACAATAATTTCATATCAAAGTGCAAAAAAACACGAAATCTTTTTAATAAAGCAATTTTTCCTTTAAGTTTTTTACAAACATAGTCAATTTGCAAGTGCCACTTTAAGGTGTTATCTATACAAATACCCGGGACTTTTGGATCAGTTACATTTTCAAGAACTATTTCATTTATCTTAACATACAATTTTTCTCATTATATTTACTTTTGGTCTCGTTTCTATCACTATACATTTCGATTTTTCTGGATTTTAGGCCATATTATTGATTTCGCACCATTTCTCAATGTTACTGAAATGATGTTGAAGTTTTACTTCTACTTTTTTGATATATTTTCTGCGGACTCATAAAGAGTAGAATCGTCTGCGTATAAATCAATTTTTATATCGTTACCAATGATAGCTATTTTTTATGTATATTAGAAATAATAAAGGTCCTAATATTGAACCTTGAGGAACACCGGAAATTATTTTCATTGTCTGAGATTGAAGATAACCTATCTTAACCAGTTGTATTCTGTTAGAAAGATATGACTTGAAAGACTTAACGGCATTTTCAGAAAAATGATAAAGCTTAAGTTTATGCAGAAGTATTTCATGATAAACCAAATCAAATGTTTTCTTTAAATTTGAGAATACAGTCCATATATTTTTTCCACTGTCAACATCTTTTAACCATGTATCTATCTATTAAACTAATGAGTGCAGTAAGAATTATTTTTGCGAAATCCTGATTGTTTGTTATGAATTATGTTTTTTTTTAAGAATGAGTGTATTTGTTTGGCAATATGGCGTTCAAATATTTTGAATAGTTGACATAATTGATATCGGTCGATAGTTATTTGCTTCATTCTTATCCCCCGATTTAAAAATTAGTATAACTCTAGCTCTTTTCAAATCATCTGGGAAAATATTAGCTTTAATACTACTATTGATAATTGATGCAATTACTGATGTAATATAATCTCCACAATGTTTGATTATGTTTGGCCCAATTTCATCAATATGAATGTTAATGCCAATAAACGTAATGTTGTACACTTCCGACTTAAATCTGAATTATGTACCCAATTTATGTTTACTTGCGGAACGAATCAGATTTGAACTGTTGATATATATACTTACTTAGGCGTAGTACTTAATGAACATTTAGATTATGATATTACTGTAAAATCTGTTGCCCAGAGTGCCAGTCGTGCTTAAGGATTGCTAATTACCAAATGCAAAGCCATTAATTGGTGGTTTACCATACGATGTCTTTACAAAATTATACGACACCGTCGTTTAGCCAGTTATTAATTACAGCGCTCCATTATGGGGTTTCCGGTCATAATCTTGTATCGAGGCTGTTCATAACAGAGCTATGTATTTCAGTCTTGGTGTCGGGAAATATTCACCTAATGATGGTATAGCAGGCAATATGGGTTGGAAACCCCAAATTGTCCGACAATGGAAATGTATTTCTTTATACTGGTCTAAGCTATCATGTATGAGTTCGGCAAGAATTAATAAACGTTTGGCACTCTGGTCTTATAATTAAGCTAGTTGCTCATGTAGAAACTGGTTTTTTCATGTTAGAAGTTATTATGATGTCAATGATTTACATTTGTACACCAGTTTTATCAATCCTATACCTCGTTCTTTTGTCCATGATGTTGAAATGAAAACATTAAATAATTGTATAAGTATTTGGTATAACAAAATCAACAATGTTGTTGGGCCCTCTGGTCGTGGACGTAATAAGTAACAAGAATATAGTTAATTTAAAACTGTGTATAAAGTAGAAAAAATACTGTAAACTTGAATTGTTCTCTTTACAATGATATAAGGCGGGATTTGTTGGCTAAAGCATGTTCCTTAAATAACAGCTTTTCGACACTGCCTGATGATGACAAATACTGTTTTCTTTTTTCAAACATAGATATGATTCGTATTTGTGCCAAAACCTGTTTTAATATTTTACAAAGACACCGGTTTTTATTATGTTAATAACTTCTTATTCATGTAAATATTTATATCTTACACATTTGTATGCAATACTGCAGCTATTCTTATCAGCTATTCTTATTAGTTTGATTTTTTAACTGAAATAAAATCGTTATTTTAGTTATTTTTATACGATTTCTCAGTTTTAATGTTGTATGCTTACTATCTTACATTGTTTCTTTCAGGTATTCACGATGTTTTCTTTTATACGTCTATGTATAGCAATGGTTTCTCTGTTTTATCACGTAAACGTGTTGTTCTAATGATTTATGCATTTATATATATATTTATATTCTATTATATTGTGATATAGATTTTTCATCTCTTATAACTCCATGCTGGAGTGGCATTGTACTTTTATGCTGTAACTTTTGAACATTGTGTATATGTCTGTACAAGGATGAGATGTAAATAAAGATTACTACTAAATAAAGAATACTACCCTTATCCTGTAGATTTTGCTAATATTATTTTTTTTCAATAATCAGTTTTACTTCAAACGGTGTAATTAATCCAATATTAAATCCATGACATATTAGCTTTTGGTCTAAAGTTTATTTCAAGTGTGAACAATACAACTTTTTTATATAGATTTGAAACGTCCTTTAATTTTTTCCATTAAAATTCCGGGTCTGTAATTTTTAATAGCATTATTAAAGAAATCTCTTTTACTTTTTTAACCATTGATGATATTTAATTTCTGAGCAATTTGTATTGTTCATGTTTCCCTACTTAATGACAGTAATCGCGTTCATGTATAAGATATTTTATCTCATCAGTAAACCATTCCGGCCGGTGATCCCGTTTGATACGTTTTTCTTTTATTGGTGCATGTTTTTTCAGTATAGTATTTAAAATGGAGTAAAATAAGGCAAGAGATTCATTCGGATTTATTATGTGCTCGACTAATTCAAGATCAGATAAAGCAAGGTCTACCTGAAAATCAATTTCATTGGAGTTTTTAAAGCATCCATATTTAATTGAATTATGTTCATTAAACAATGGGGTACATGCTTTCGTTGATCGTGAAATACATATCGGATAATTATCACTTAATGGGGTATGAGAAACACACTGTTTGTATAAACATGATCTTTAATTTTTTGGGTACGTTTGTTATCCAAATAGGATCTGTGATAAGTTCTTTCAAACCATATTTCGTTATCAAAGCACCCAATTTTGTATTGTCATATTTTTTCTTTTTATTCATTGGATAGAAGTTTATATTAACACCCTCTAGAATATGATATTCTATATTTGATGTATCTATTATACTTAGATGTTTCTCAAGATTGATGTACACTTGGTGGGCGATATATGAAATTTAAATGAAAGGTTTCCAATTTGGGTAAATAATTTCCAACCAAACAGATTCTAATTCGTCTGTTTCTATATTGTAACGGCGCCGATATGGCACCTTGTCAGCAAAATGTATTACAATTCCCCCTTTGTGACCACTTTTACGGTCCTTTCTTTCATACGTGAAATTGTTTGTATTTAATTCATCTCCTGTTGTATTATCACCAAGAAATGTCTCAGTAAAACCGAAAATATCAGGCGAATTTGATTTGTTTAATAGATTGTATTTTATTGCGTCCATTTTAGGCATTAAGTGATTTACGTTAAGGTGTGCAATATGCAAATCTCGTTTTTCAAATTTAAAATTGAACAATTTATTATCTGGAAAGTTTGATTTATGGACCGTGGCATCATAATATATCTTAACATTATGCAGTACTTTGCAGTTATATTTATAATATCCGTATTTAATTTATGGTACTGATTGTTCAAAAGAAACGAATTGATTGTCAGATGCATTAGCGACTATAAATTTCCGTTCTTTTACTATCAAATCGATAATTTTTCGCGTATTTAAACATATGTGTAAAATATCAATTGTAGAATACAACATAAAATCATAACATACATTATAAACTAAATAAAAGAAGGTTTGTACATGCCTCCTTTCAAAAGCAACCATTTTGTTAGGAACATATCGAAACCGACTTTTTCTTTTAAAGGAATTAATTGAAAGTTCTTGTTTGTGACTGAGATATTACTATATACATGTATTTATTTCTTATTTGAGATATATCAGATATGTTAATGTAATATATATGTACAAGAGAAAAGTCAAATAACCTACATTTGTAAAACTATTTGTTTTACTCTCACATATCTCGTTCCAGTATTCTGTTAAAATACAATTGTTACTGTTATTTGAAAAAAGTATCATTTTAGTATTCTATTTCTAACAAAGAAGTCTTGTTACGTTCAATTAGATTGTTTATGTATTCATTGTTCAATTTATTCAACGTTTTGATTTTTTTTGCTATCCTAGTTTTTAGAGTGTCTGTCCGCATTATACTAGTTCAGATACTAACAGTCTTTAGACTTGTGATTTATTCTGCCGCAAGTAAAACACTAATCAAAGCCTTTCCTACCTCCGGTTCCGCCATAACGCATTTCACTGGAAAAGTCGTTCCCGTTGCTCCGCTTCGACGAATGCTGCCACTTTCTTGTCAAGTTTTTGTTCATGCTTCTGGTTTTATCTATTACTGGTGCGCGCATATCGAGAGGATTGTTGTTCTATTGTACGTAGCATTTTATTCATTGCCAGAACTAACGCAGACAACCCCTCTGGCTTAAATGGATACCATCCCTTACAAATTGGTGTTTCGCTACTATGCCTTTACCACAGATAAATCCGCTGTATATGTCAATCAGTGTAGCATTATTGTCTAAACACATCTGTGACAGTTGTGTTCATTCAGTTGAGTAACATTTGCATCAGATCTTAGGCATACAGTATATATATATATATATATATATATATATATATATATATATATATATATATATATATATATATATATATATATATATATATATATATATATATATATATATTGAAAATATTGTGTTTTTCAAGCGACGTCAAGTCAATTATTAATTCTACCAAAGTCGATGTGAGTGGGATTTCGGACGCAACGTCATTTCCTCCGACGTAGATAACAATGTTGAGAAATTCCCTCAAATCCCAGTTTTTCAGCCGTAACGCTTTGTCATGGGCGGTGCCTCCCTTTACATAATATGTATCTACGGTATCATGTAGACCTTGTCTATTTATTGCTTTCATGATAGAATCACCGGTAATAAGCGTGTTTGTACGTTTTGGACTTGTTGATTTTTCTGAACTTGGTGTCTTTATCCGAGTGTCTTCCGGTGTAACAATAGTATCCCTCTCTACAGTATATCTATCACTTGATTTCGGATTTATATCCTTTCTTTGTACCGATTTTAAGCAATAAAAATATGACTGAAGTTTCCTCCGCATAGATTCGGCGAGTATTTGGACATCTTCCTCAATGTTTTTAGAGTTTTGCAACAGCGAGTCAAAAGAGTCCTTTGTCTTTGAGTTAACTAACGATACCTGTCGTCTAATACTTACGATTACGCCTTTAATTGAGGACATCTGAAAATTTGTCTTTTTAATATGACGAGAGAGCGTTCCATTTATTTCCAATATTTTATGCTGGATGTTATGGAGCATATTTGTCATTAAAGAGTCTTAAGTATCCGTATCAACTCGAATGTTACTCGACTCCAAAGATTCAAACTGAAATTCCAAAGCGCAATCTGCATCTTCTATTTCACATAGTGTTTTAACCGCTTTATCTATGCAAAATTCGGCTTCTTTTGTAAACATATGGTTCAGTATCATCGCCTTTATTTTCTGATTAAATTCATTTGAATCATAGCCTTCATCCGACAGCTTGTTTTCAATAAATTTTAAAATAGCTGAGAGGTCAGAATCAATGATCTGTTGTGTGTTCTTCCTGTTTATTAGACAAGATGATCTTGTGTGATATAAATTTAATGTGTATGAACAGGACTTATCTTCTGATGACACATTATATTAAGTTTCAACAATATATTTTAATATATTTTCAACTATATTTTGCTTCTTATCAAAAGCTGAAGTTTTCTTGGTTCGACCAATCATTTCTTGATCCGAAAAGAATATTTCCTAAGTTTACTTAAATAACTCATAACATACCAGTGTTTATTTCCAACTTAATTCTACCTCCTGTAACTGCACTGATCATTTCTTCCCGTTCTGTAGTATTCAATTTATTCTAAAGCTCATTTCATAATCCCACTGCTCCCGGGAATGAATTACTAAATCTTTCTATCGTTCATTTTTTTTAGAATTCTGTCAACACTTTTTAAAAAAAATGTTTTTCTCCTGATATCAATGACATAATATAATGAAAATTACAACATCGTGTCCAGATTTTTTTCCTTATCAAATCCGTCTTTTTATTGAAAATCACTGACGTTAAATAATCAATAGATAAAATTATTGTTAAATGCGATGTTCCGCTGTTAAACTTATTTGAACTTGATTTACAGAATGATGCAAAATATGTGTATAAGACTCAAACCGTGAAATTGTATAGGCTAAATAAAACAAGAAAAAAGTAACAGGAGGGTCCAAAGTTCAAGTATTTTTAGCTTTACCTCGAATTGTATTTTATCAGTGTGAACGCTAACAGGGAAATTTAAAGCGCCATATCCGGACTCGTCAAACGTAACAGTGAAGTTTTTCATGACAGTAGTCTGTATGTCAAGCCATTTTGTTGGTGGGTTATTGAGATTACATTGTTTTACTTCAGCGGTAGTCACTGTGGGTACCACGTTGATAGTTCCCGACGTACGTACTGGTTCATCACCATAGCCAACAAATATCTACCAAATGTTATAAGTTGTCATTTATGCAACACATGTCAGACTAAAATATATTTAAGGAAGGTCAGTATCAGTGTTATAAGTGTAGCACCTGTTACCGTTCAAATTATTTGGTAACAGACAGTCCTTAAAAATAATGGTGATGTTTATCATATTCCTTTATATGTATGAGACAGGAGTATCTTTCACTCCAAGTATACTTCGGACTTCATAAGTTTAGTAAGGCAGGAACAAACGATTAGCTGTGAAATATGTTCCATTTCAGACTTTAGAGTAACATAGTAATAAAAAAATCATACGCTTAAGTAAATGACGAAAACTACTTACCGATGTATGATATGTTAACCCAGGCACGAACGTGTCTCGTTTATCTGTCTTTGTAATAGTAATAGTCTGATGTGGTGTAAAAGATGAAGACGAGTTTGAATCTGAACTAAATTTAAAATCTTCTTCTGCAGCGATAGTGAGAGCAGATGCATTATCAGTCACCATGGCACGAACTATTATTGGGTTGTAAAAGTCTAGATTTCTTCTCAAGTCCGCCATTGGAATGGTAAAGTTTACTTCTCCTCTAATCTAGAAATAAAAGCAACACAAACAAAATCATAAATATAGAATAGCATTATAGATATTATAAACTATATGCTTCATGCAAACGTAATTCATACATATTTCAACAGAAGTGTTCGATACCCTTCGATTAAAGATAAAACAAATATGTGCTCTTGGCAAACAGAGTTTATCAGCACATCAAGGATAGATACATATATCAAATTATGCATTTAATCAATCACTACTCGATTTTAGATAATACTTGTGCTAACGTTAAGTACCCCGTAAGCAACAGCTATCAACAAACAAATAAATCAGATTGTTTTTACACTTCTTGCTTACCTGTTTCCAATATTCAACGAAATTGGTGAGCTGGTTTTTGTTGTAGATTTGAATTGTACAATTACCAAGAACGTCGTTGTTGAACGTGAATCTGAAAAAGGATTAGCACATGGCAAATGCAGTTTCAGCAGTTATTTTCACAACGATAGCACGACGGTTTAAAAATTAATTTCATGAATCATTTGGCATAAAATAACAGTTATTTAAAAAAACAACCTTGACATGGCGGACAATAATAACAAACAAAATAAATAAATGAATAAATAATAAGCTCGACATCAAACAATAAAATATTGATTGTCTTTGTCTAAAAAAATATACGTACCTTGCCTTTACAGATAATTCGAAAGAATACATGGTCTGCTGAATTCTTTTTTGTAAAGTTATCTGTACGCTAAATCTTGGAACAACTGCCAAAATAAATGAAATGATTTCATTTACTTCTGTTGTTATTACGAGCTATTCAAATTAAAAATAATTTTATTTTACATGTCAATTTTAATTGGTATATCGGGAAGAACTGACTACCGATTTTGCCAGATATATCAAATTTATTTAGGTAATATAAATATTATCTTTCGTAACCTGCCTATGTACAGATTATCAATAACAGTGAGGGTATCGTAAAATTCAATTAGTTTATTTGTATTATTTCAGACCTCTGGAAGATAGAACAAAGATAGCATTCAAGTTAAGCTGTGATTTATTTGCATGTAATACAATGACAGATGTTTTCAAGTGAATTTGAGCAAAATAATTGAAATGGCAAGTTTTTTATGAATAAACTTTGAGAAATAGAGTTGTACAATATGTACAATTGAATTGATTTTTTTTTTCAAATGACAATGTACTTTGTTAACAAAAATGTTTCTTTGTTTAAAGATCTTTATAAATGATAATGATTTCCATTAGCTAGACATGTATATAAAAAACATCAAACAAACATACTAAATATGCCTTTTTTGCAATACCTATTACAAACAACTAATTTTGTAAATTATGAAAGAAATGAATGTATTATTTTAACATCAACATGTAACATGAAATCAATGCTGTTGTAGACCTGCTTCGAGCCAGACTTTATACGTTCTATTCACTCTCACAGAATTCATAATGCATTTCATGAAGTTCAAAGGGCATGTTGTATTATCTAGCAAACCTAGTCTCAGAGATAAAACATCGAAACATAAGATTTGTTGGTTGCTTTCATATTTCTTTAATGTACATGTTTTTATTTAATTTAATACGTGTTTGTATTCTAATTTTGTAGTAAAAGTTCAAACAAGTGTTTGTTGAATCTAGATAAATTAACAATGTTCATCATTTTTGGTTAATATGGTGGCTGATTTCTGCCATGTCGTGTCTTTATGTCTTCGCCCCCCCCAAAAAAAAAAAACGAAGACGAAGAAACGATAAGTGAGCATATTATCGTGTCTTCGTCATCGACTTTTGAGGAGCGAAGACAAGAAATGACAGAAATCAACCACCAAAGGTTAATAAAAAAAATCTAATTTGATCTCATTTCACCAAACATAAAGAACTTTATAATGATTTATGATTGCTAAGAAGACTTTGTTAAAAGTTTAAATTGACCAATTGGACAGAATGAAAATGCAACACAGACACGATTTTGAAAAAAAAAACATGATGTGTGTTTCTTGAACACATATAATATTAATATTGCAATGTTTTTCATAATGTAAATAGTTGAAATGATAAAGTGAGTTAGGATTTTATGTTCCTCAGTCTAAGTGATAAATTCTAATTGAAGTCCAAAACTATATATTTGCCTTAAAGACTTATTTGTGTTCAATGATCAAATTTGAAAGTACAATGATCGCAAGTCATCGTAAAAGAAGTTTTTTTTTGCATAGCTTATTGCGTTAAAGAAGCAAAGTAATACAATACCATACCATAGTCATTTACTTCGAAATCCTTTGTCAATATCTTCCTCTGAAAACATTTAAATTTGAATTAAAGCAATATCTATCAAACAATAAAATATATTGTGCATTTACAAATATAAGATATTAAAATATCACTATTCAAATACTATTTTCTCGTGCGATTACAAAACTTTTAGTATCCTGCAGTAAACTGCAAGGTCGACATATAGGTCGGCCTGTCTGAGGTTACATTGCGCATTGATAAGCTAACACTGAAGTTGTGATTTCAAAAGTTAAGTCATTTTAATGAATTTAAGGTGATATTGTATAGGTTCAACTTGAACCATTCATAACATAATGTTTGATGACAAAGCTCCGTTACCACGGCATCGACTTGAATTGTCCATGTACCAAAAACAGGTTCGCGACTCAAAGTCAGTTTACCAGAAACAACTCCATCCTTTGTTTTTAGATGATCAATGACTTCAATCTTGTTGCTTTTGGCATCCTTTATAAAACAAAATATAAGTATTAATACCGTATTAGTGTTTCGGTATTAGATGTATATATAGACGTTTTTATAAATACTCACAAAGATCATGATTCAATGCCATCGGTTGCTATGAACTGTGACTGGATGCAGGGGACAAAAGAAATACAGCTAGTGTATAGCTCATAATTATTCAATCTAATTTCTTAAAAAAGATGGATTTTAAACGTAAAAGATAAATATGTCAAGGAATTAGCATATCTAATCTTTTATTTGTCAAAAAATGTTAAATACTTACAAAGACAGTTATTGTGAGAGGTCCCTTATAACCGAGCAAGTTTGGATGAAGTAGTATAGCACGATACTTTACTGAAATGAATTGCAAAAAATGTGTGTTTTAGTGAAAATATGTTATTTTTTATAGTTATGATTACTTACTTCTTTATTGTCACTATGAAACCTTGCGCCTGAAATCATTTTTATTACTCAATTTATGTACATTTTGGCTTTCTTTAACATATTAGAATAGAAGTTTTTTGTTTGGCTGATACATGTTAACGGAAAGTAAACGGAAAGTAATTGAACAGTAATACTCTTGCTTGTTTATGATGTTCTTTTCGGAGGAGTGAGTGTATTTTGTTTTAGTTCGATTCCCTGCTTGTTGTATGTTTACATAAATAATTAATGATTTAGTTAAAAAATTCGCGGATTGGAAAGTCCGATGGGGCCGTAAAATCCACTAGCCGACTCTTAATCTTAAATAATTGAGGTCATTATTAGTGTCTAAAATGGGATTAACAATACGCTAGCCTTATATATTGTATTGGTAAGTGAATTGTGATCACAATTCAGCAAAACATTTTCTCTATATTTTTTATTTATATGTGTACATGTTCGTCTTCATTTCTAAACATGTCGTTAAAAGGGTGGGTATCACACTATTATACTTTGTTTTCCTCGACTAATAGTTTTCTTTCGTCTGTTCCCTTCAGACGTGTGAAAAACACAAACTAGACGATAATTGCTCAGAAGCGCGTGCCATAATGATGATTATGTTTGTAACATGTTTAGCTGTTTTTATAAAGTTAATCTATTTAGGGTGTTGATTGACTTATGTCCAAAATGAGTGAATTATACGTTCTTTTTAAATATTCGAACTCTGTATCAATTCATTATGATTTTCAATGTAAATGAAATAGTGATTGCTATATTGACATAGAGTTCTTTTGATATTTATAAAATAGTAGTAGTTTACTTAGTTTGTGTTTTTATTGCTTTATGGCAATATTCATAACAATTCATTACTTCCTAACAGGTGCCCGTAAAATTCGAATATATCCGGTCAAGTAGCTTTGCATGAACAACGTCTAAAATAAAAATTTCTCTCCCAATTTATTCGCGAAATCGTGCGGACTTATTCGCGCAAACAAATATTCGCGCTTCGTGGCCATCAGCGAATAAAGCGAATATTAATTGGTCGCGAATATTCGTTGGGTTACAGTAATTTCTTTTCCAAATTACATTTGTATTATTTCTCTATAAAATCTTTTCTTACAGAAGTGTAAGAAAGTATTAATAAATTTGCAATAATATGTCTTTTATAATAGCGAGGAAGGGCTTAAAGTGAGATAAAAAAATGAATATTTTAGAAATAAGAAGCGGACTTATGCTACATAAGACATATTGGTGACCCCATGGAAAAACCAGGGCATATTTTATTTGTTAAGTGCAAAAACAAGATAAGAGTATCACGATGTCCGCATGATACCTTATTTGTACTCCTTCATACCTTCTTGTCCGGCTGAATAGCGTGTCTTATCAGTTTGGAGAAACAAAAACAGGTTATTCGCTTCGTAATTAACTTTTGATTCGTTCTTGAAAGTCAATCCCCCAGATCCAGTGATAGATACCATATATTGGGACAATGGCAAACCAGCAGGTACCTGAAAAAATGTGTGGCAATTTGTTTGTCACTTTAAGGATGGCATGATCAGTTTTGTCAAAAATTAATGACGATTACGACAATCTGGGATGATATCACTTCAAAAGATTTTTTTTTAAATATGTATAAACTTCGAACAATTTTCGGCAGTTCAATAAGTAGAATTAAGGAATTTTGATACAAACATATTTACAAGGATTTGATCGATAATCAGATAAACTAAATTCTATGTTAATATCCCTACTGGAAAAAGTAAAGATTTAAAGATTTATAGACAACAAATGCGTGAGGCACTGTTTACCTTTATAGCCAAAGTACTCGGAACACCTAGAAATATAATGCAAAATACATATGATAAAATCCTGTAAAACAAAGCAAAAAAAATAATATTTTAATGAACTTCAAGTAAGTATATTTTACATATACGTCAGCCCGCTTAGATCAAATGGCAGTTCATCCAGTTCGTAATGCTCAATGGGACGGGGAAATGATGCTTTTTCTCCGACAGTGTTATATTGCTGTTAAATTGGTAATTTCTGGTAATTTATACATGCAAGCCAGTTAGGTGGACCGAAAGTCAAGGTATGATAAAAATGTTAATATCGGAATAAAAATTAAACAAACAAGTATACAAACAATTTCAAAGAAGCAATCTAATTTAAGAATATGGGCTTTATAAAGTTCTTTTCTTTCCCTTTTGGACAGTTAAAATACTAGTACTTAACTATTTCAAAAAGTGTAAAATGTTTGACCATCAGTTAGAAACAGTGAGACACACACACACGCACGCGCGCGCGCGCGCGCGCACACACACACACACTCACACACACGCACGCACGCACACACGCACACACGCGCGCACACATCTTTTACAACTCCCGTGCAGTTTGTTTTTTTAATTTGAAAATAAACGAGTTTTAAAAAAGATTATAATACCGTTTGCAACTTGCTTTGCGGTAGACGATATTTCCGAATTGTTTTGGACAAAGTGTAAGGACGCCAAAGCGTTAACTGTTCCAGATGCTCCAAGGACAGTGATCCTTACATCTAGATTAACTCCCGGAATCAATGAGTCCGGAAATGTAGCTATATATGACCTGAAAAAAAGGAAATGTCATGTATCAAAATCACTTTAAGTTTTCCTGACATCTTATGAAGAATACTAATTGTTATTATGATTCTAATTTTCATTGAAATAAAATCACAATACATCTAAAAAGTTTTTTTTATTGTTTTTGTTATATAAAGAATATTGAAATTCTGTCCATAAATTTATGCAGTTTCTATATGAGTTTTACAAAAACTATTACAGGAAGGATCGGTTTCTGCGCTCAGGGTAAAAACCTTAAGTTCTGAAGGAAATAAATACAATTATATTTTGATATAGTAATGATACTAATATTAGAGTACGCACAGATTTAAAAATAGTTAATTTCTTCCTTAGAATCACGCAAATTTTACAGGATTGACAATTTCTTTTTCTCCGTGAATCAGATGAAGATTTTCTGACATTCATCAACAAATTAAACTTGACTTGCTTCATACTAAATTTCATGTTAACGATATATAATATATAATAGTTAAACTAAAACAATATTACAAAATTGCACCTTGTTCAATTTATAATGGCTCTCGTAGGATAAGATGTTATTTCACTGTTTGGTGAAGCATTTAGTGTTGCGGATTACAAGGCGTTTTTAAACTAATTTTAGGTGCACAACCATTCATACTTAAGTGTTAATTTGTCAACTGAGTGCAAGCTAACTAAATGTATTAATTGTTTGGATTTAACAATTTGGGTCACTAAGTCATGAAAGTCTCTAGACTTTACATGCAAAATCGCAAAACATCAATTTGACTGAATCTGTGTCAAGTTAAACTTGAAAATGTGACATGACATTTTAGCATCTGCTACTGTTAAAATACGGGTGTAATTAAATCATATTATTTATATTATTCAATTATATAAATTCTTTAGTATATTACATACCCTGCATCTGAAAATGAAACTGCCACGCCGAGTATAAAAAGTTCTAAGAGCATTTCACGTGTATTACTTCACCTCCGCTAGTAGCGACGACAATGTTACTTAAATCAAAACATTAACTCCCATACAAACGACGACTATTACAATTTTGAAATGTTATTCTCCTATCATTGTATAACAGTTAATGGTACATCCGGCTCAACTAGGGATTGAGATAAGGAAAATATGGGCTACATTGAAATTGATAAAGTCACGATTTAAACATTTTTGGTTATTTAAATAATATTGTTTCCATTGAGCCAAGCGATTACATACGGTCCATTGGTAACACGATGCATACAGTTGTATTGTTAATATGCAATGGGTTAACTTGTCATTTCTTTAAACATGCTTTAAAAGCCAAACAGTTAATTACTATGCTTTTACAGTATACTGTATCTAATTTGTAAATCAAAATCTGATTACTGCGCTAGTTAGGTCGATCACACATAAGGAGCTACAATAATTATTCATCGCCGCGTTATCTCCTTCTGAGAAATCATTACTTTTCATCTGAGTGAATTCTCATTTTCTATGATTTACTTTTTGTTCCTGGAATATATCGAATTTGGTCCATTTTTAACATGATAAGAGCCTATTTCTGTGTTGATAATCATCAGATCAAAGTGAAAAAATATACAAAAACGACTAGACTGCATGTTTATTAAGATTTGACCATTAAAGTATATCTCAAATAAATGCATGCCGATTTCGATTATTTTCCAATCCCAATCTGTAATAGAAATAAATTTTTATAGTTCATGTTTAAAAATAAAAATCATTTAAAAAAAATAATGAACAGCTTTTCCGGCATTCTCTGCTGATTGAACATCGTTATCAATCAAATTGCAAGGAAATGCAAATTGCTTCAAATATATAGAATTGACTAAATTTCTTTAAAGTCCTAGGTTAATATTCTCTAGGGAAAGCCAATAAATTGATTTTATTTGTTGATTTAATTATAGGATTGTTTGTTCAAATATTAAAACTATCCTATTCACAAAATGTTTAAGTATTTCATTCGAAATTTCAAACCGTGGCTATCCTAACTTTAAAGGTTACAGACTTAAAACATATACTTTGATTGCAATGCAAATTTCGGGTATTTTTTTTTAAATATGAGAAAATCGCATAGAATGTAGTTTGATATACAAGAGAGAATTACAGAATTACAAAATACTAAATAAAATCGAGTCAGAAATTGTCAACTTTTTATTTTTGTTTTCATTTCCTTCGAGAGATTTACCTTTTTCAGAAATCTTTTACCTATATATATATGATGATATGGTATGTGTAACTTATGATACGGGTAACCGCATACTAAGAAGTTTTGTCCATATGAATGAAATTATAAAATTAGGATATTTTCCGCGGCTAATATAGTAGAAAGTATCAAATAAATTATCATTGTTTATACTTATGTTATTTAATCCGAAATTTGTTATACTCGAAAGAAATACTTACTTGAGAGAAAGCCGAAAATCCTGTACAGAATAAGCACAATGGACAAACATCGCATATTTTGGCTCTCTTCAACACGTCTGACTCATAACGTGCAATGGCTCGCTGATCTATAATATTATCAACAAACATATATTACTGTATGCCTTTGCACACATGCTTTTCAGACAATACGAGTCAAGTTGTGCAAATGTGAAAAAGTCTAGAAGTCTAAAGAGGTAAAGGCTTCACTACTGTTCGTTCTAATTAGTTTTAATAAATTCAAAATGTTTTATGTTTAAATGCCAAAAGTAATTTTAAACTATTCAAAAGAATTTTCAAACAACAATTTCTAAACCCATGACGACCTCGCTGCAAATTATTACAGAACAAGTTTTTTTTTTATTTGATGATTTGCAAATAACAGGAGTAAAACGTGAAATTTCCGAGAAAATATGCCATTCCCTTGATTCAAAAACAGAAGTAAAATTATTTCAATACCTTACTTTTATGGCGTAATGAAATGATAACAAAGGAAACTACCACATTCTTTAGTTCATGAACTTTTAAAAAAAAATTTTTTTTTGATTTTGCTTGGCCTTTGCATAAAAAGATATAAAAAAGATATTAAAGATCTGAGGAAATTTGATCGAATTCGATAATATACAGTATGAAAAAAATAATGTTGTTTTCTTCCATATATGATGTTGAAAGTAAGAGAAATTGATATGTTAAGTTCACATAGTTGTAATCATTTCAACGTATTTACACATTTTTTGTTTGTTTTTATTTGAAGATAGGTATCAGATAAAATTGATTATAATTCAAACAATAGATAAACAAAACGAGAACAGATATACCAATGTCACTTTGGAAATTTCCAACAGAATTAATTAACATAACTCGTTATGGTTGTTCAATTAATAGATAACAGTAAACATTCGCAAAAAAAACAGCAGAAACCTTAGGTCCGACTAAATTTTACAAAAACAATAGGAGAATACCAGAATTTAGATATAATTAATTCAAATTGAAATTTTCTTTTATGTTTTCCGACAAAATAAACCGTTGGCTTTCGTGTTGTAAAGTGAAGATATTGATACCTTTATCTAATTTTAATGATGAATTTTCTGTAATACATTTGCCCCTGGATAATACGGCAAATTCTCAAAAGAATAGAAAGAAAAAAGGATTATTGTCTTACTAGGTTCATAATAGTCGTATACAGTAATGATGCCTCCCTGGTTTTTGACAACGGGTTCGGACCTGTCAAATTTCACTTTCACTACCGTCTCGCTGTTCTGTGCAATCTATAAAAAAAGAACATACCACCTTCTATTTAGAAGCTTTTTCTAGTTCTATATTATTATTTCTTAAATATCAATTATATTTACAAACAGATCGCAGCGATGATTTCAACACAGCAAAATGCAAATGCGAAATAAGTTTTAAATCAAACCATTTTTACCCCAAAGAGATACACAACAAGTGTCCTTCCGATGCTTTCGTGTTTCATAACTTTAGATTGTTTTATAAAGAAATCATGGTCAGCAACAAATCCAGTTGGCATTTCAATTTCCATCAGAATCATTCGACTTACATAAGTTCCATTCCACCTGAAAACATTCATATAGACAACTAAAAAAGAAGAAAATAAACGGTTTAAAAGTTTATGAATTTTCAATACAGGGCGAACAATTTTTTAATTCTAAATTTTAAAATGTAAACAAAGCTGAATGACTAGTATATACCAAACAAAAACACATTTATTAAACCTGACAACATCAATAAGAAAAAAGATATAGTCATTGATATAATCATAGATTTGTCATCCCTTTTGAGAGCTAGCAATGATGACACTAAACCCTATGCCGTCATAAGGTAGCCATGCCCAGGATTTGTATTTGAGCAGCGGACAGAGTATATTTTCTTAATTTTTAATACTTTAACCCTGAAATTGAGCGTTTCAATTTCAAAAGTGTCACAGTTTCATATGGATAAAGGTTTTAAATATCAAAAATCAAAATTTCTCGAATCCTTATCCCAGCAAACACTCTTTTTTAGCGTTTGCTTACTATTCGGTATTACCTAATAACGGTTTTCAAGATCAGTGTATTTAGCGAATCTTGCTCAAAATCTGAAGCCACAGCGATGAAAGTTCCATTACTGCTACTACTGTTAACATAGTATGATTGAGCAACCTGAAAATAAAATCTTCGAAGTCATAATTTAAGGCAGTTAAGGGCTAGCAATTTTGAGCTCTGAGTTAGTTATCTTTACACAACACTTCTTGTATGAAAAAATGATGCAATATATTCTTTATCGTTTGTTGTAAATTGCGCTGTATATTCATTTATAATTCATGAGACAAAGCTACATTAAGAATTGTCGCAAAAGTGTAACCGAAAAATAAAATGCTCACGTCAACAACAGCAATTCCTTCTCCAGCAGCCTGTATCACTACATTCTGTAAGTTTGCAGGCATCTGTAATCGTAGAAGTGAGTTTAATTTGTGTATCAGAAGTGTGATTTATATCAAACACATAATTTGTATCATACTCTTATATGCTTATCACACCTTGTTAAAACGATTCATCAAAAAGCAAGAATAATGTTTCTTTTAAAGTGCATACACAAGATAATTCAATTTCGAATAGTTTTCATGCTAGAGACATGCTGATGGTGGGATACAAATCGTGTTCCATTATATCTAAACACATATTTACTGTGATTTTATACCTATTTTATTTCAGTGTGATTTTAACCCCCAAAACTCCTCAACAACAACAAAAAAATCCAAATAAATCAGAGTCACACTGTTATATTTCCAAAGATAGGCTATGTTATCTAGACAAAGTGTTTTAGTTATTGATACATCAACGTAAATTAATCTTAAATAAGTATACATTCATATTTATATAATAATGCAAATGGCTTTCTCGAATTATGATTGGCTCAAACACTAATTTATATTGTTAGTTATAAAAAAAATTTGACCAATAATAGACGGTTGTGTGCATAACGGGTCAGGTTATATTAAAGAGCCATAATTTAACCTATAACTAAATTATAATTATATCATTTATAACTAAATAATTATGCAGCAAACTTTCAATTTTTAAGAAAAACTGAAATGACTTTCTAAATTGACATCAGCGGTGTATTTAGTTTAAATAAACGTCACGATTATCAAATGAAAAGCAATGTTACAAACATGCAGTATTATAATATGCCGTATATACCGTAACCGCATGAGTATTTCTGCATCATTTACGGCTAACAACGCGTGCGCATTTATAATACAAAGTGAAAAGTTACACTTTAATGATTATCATATACTTGAATGTTTTTTTTATGCGCACTGTTCGTTGACATTCTATGCACTTTTCTGCGCGTGTCTTTTCCCCGCCGCTTCAATGAAAACCATCGAATGATGTTATGATGTTGTCTGTTTTCTCCCATGAATTTACCGCCAAAATCAATTTGCATTATCGTTAATTCGTTATATAAGTTGCTGACAGGAAATACGACAGCAAATAGCCTGACGCGAGGCTCTAGCCATCAGTAACTTGTATAACTTATAATATACACAAACGCCCATTTTATTCTCCTCGCTAAAATGACGATCCGCAATTTTGTCATGTAATGTATTACCTCGATCTGGTGCACGGAATCATATTTCATTTGAGTTATATTAAATGAGTGCATGAAGCCAATTCCAAAAACATTGATTTGTATCCCCAACTGTTTCGTAACATGTGCTTGGTTAATTCCGTTTTCTGCAAGTGCCTGTATTGCTACAACTGTGTCCTGAAAAAAAAACTTGTATCTATTATTAATTGTACCTATTATTATAATTTGTGATCATGAAAAAAAGCTTAAATTAAGGATAAAAACATCTAAAATAAATTTGAATTATGACACCACCCACTTTCATATATTTGTATTTCAAGTATATTTGACTGATACAGCACAATATTTCATGGGTAAAATTAAATACAATTTAATTAATTTTATTTTTTCAAAAAAAGCCAATACATCATAATAAACGTGTCAAGGTACTTCCTCTAAATGTTCTGCACGATCATGAATGGCTGTCTGTTAAAATTAATAAATTAAACGAGACTTACCTGGAAGTTGAAGTTCAATTATTATTCTACTGCTACTGGACCACAGGGTTTAATGAGATGAACATATGATCTTATCAGATGACCAAGCAGACTTTCAGAGCATACATAATTATGCAAAATGCGACAATGGCTTATACATATGGGAGGCGTAACCGGGTGGGCATTAAACCCTGTGGTCCAGTAGCAGTAGAATAATAATTGAACTTCAACTTCCAGGTAAGTCTCGTTTAATTTATTAATTCTACTGCACTGGACCACCTAGGGTTAATGAGATTTTAGAGACCATGCTCGCATTTTGATAAGTCGTTTAAAACTTCATAACCAAGTACAATGATTACGCATTCAATCTACGACTATTAACTTTTCAAAAACTGAAAATGTAATGTACAAAATAAAAATATGCAATTGCCATATACTAAAATTGCTGTAAAAGTAACAAAATTCATTATAAAGGAATACTATTCCCTATTTGTACTGTGCGGGAAACGGTCATTAGGCTTGACCCCTGCTGCAATGTTTACATTGCAAAATTGGATACATTGTATTGTTAATTGTAAACGAAATTGCCAAACAAGTTTGACCACAC